AGGTTACTCGAATGCCGTCGTCTGAATCAAGTCCAGCTGTTCTTCCTATTCTTTCCTCTTCCTTCCCTTTTCCTCTCTTTCTCAGATTTTGCCTGTCTGTCTATCTCTTTCGCTCTCTCAACTCGCAGTCACTATCTCATTTTTTCCCTCTTTCTTTCTCGCTCTCTCTCTCTATCTCTTTTTCGCTCTCTCCTCTTTCTCATTCTCTCTGCGCCCCTCCCCTTCCCCTTCCCTCCCTCCGCTCCCCTCCTTCCGCCCGCCTCTTCCCTCCTTCCCGCCCCTTCCCTTCCTACCCTCCTTTCCCTCCCTCCGCCCCTATCCCCTCCCTTCCCTCCTCCTCCCCCTCCTCCCCTCCCTTCCCACCACCGCCTCCCACTCCCTCCGCTCCCCTTCCCTCCCCGCCCTCCTCCGCTTCCCTCCCCTCCCCTCCCCTCCCTCCCTCCCCTCCCCTCCCTCCCCTCCCTCCCTCCCTCTTCCCTCCCCCGCATTTTAATTCGTCCAACGCCCCATTTCGGCCGCAGGTGCAGACGGGGCCGCCACCTGCCGCGATGTCACTCCCGCTGACCTTTTCCCACCCTTTAAAGCAGAACGCCGTGGGTGTGGGCGTGGGACGTCGCTCGGGACGCCCACAAGAGGCCCAGAGCTCGTTATTCAGTGTGCGTTGCAGCCCGCATTTCTCTTGCTTTATTTCTTTTTTTTTTTCTCTCTTCTTTCTCTTTCTCTGTTTTTTTTGGTTTTTGTCGCTGGTTTTGGTTTTGTTTGTCTGGCTCTTCTCTTCTCTTTCTGTCTTTCTTTCTGTCTCTGTCTGTCTATGTCTCTCTTTGTCTGTCTGTCTCTCTCTCTCTCTATCTCTCTCTCTCTTACTCTCTCTCTCTCTCTCTCTCTCTCTCTCTCTCTCTCTCTCTCTCTCTCTCTCTTCTCTCTCTCTCTCTTCTCTCTCTCTCTCTCTTCTCTCTCTCTCTCTCTCGCTCTCGCTCTCCTCTCAAGCTCTTCGCCAATGAATTTCTTTTTTGTTTTTATCGCTGCTCTTTTCTCTCATTTTGGTTCCTTATTTTCTTTCTTCGCTAAAGAGGGCGAACGTTTCCAACCGCAAAATTATTATTTATTATTATTATTTATCATTATAAATTTTATACTTATCATAAGTTTATTTTTATTTATAAATTTATTCATATAAATTTATTGTAAATTTTATTATAAATCTATTATCATAATTTATATATTAATTATTATTTATTATTATTTTTATTATATTATTTATATTATAATTATTTATTTATTTATTTATTATTATTTAAATTATTATTTATTATAAAATTATTATATTATATTATTATTTATTTATTTATTATAAATTATTATAAATTATTATTATTATATTATTATAATTATTATTTATTAATTATTATTTATTATTATATTTATTTATTATTATAAATTATTATTTATTATTATAAATTTATTTATTTATTTATGAATTATTATTTATTATTTATTATTATGAAATATTATTTATTATTTATGAATTATTATTTATTAGTATAAATTATTATTTATTGTAAATTATTTATTATGAATTATTATATTATTATAAATTATTATTTCCTTACCGGCAATATTGATCAAAATCTATTTGGCGTGAATTTCTCTCCCTCCCTCTTTCTCTGCTCTCTCTCTCTCTCTCTTCTCTCTCTCTTCTCTCTTCTACTCTCATCTCTCTCTCTGCTCTCTCTTCTCTCTCTCTCTCTCTTCCTCTCTCTCTCTCTCTCCTCTCTCATTCTCTCTCTCTCTCTCTCTCCTCTCTCCTCTCCTCTCTTCCTCTCTCTCTCTCTCTCTCTCTTTCTCTTCTCTCTTCTCTCTCTCTCTCTCTCTCTCTCTCTTCTCTCTCTCTCTCTCTCTTCTCTCTCTCCTCTTCTCTCTTCTCTCTCTCTCTCTCTCCCCAGGGCAGTTAAAAACTACATACGGTCATAAGATCAGGAATCTTCCAAAAGTAAATAGATTGCATGTATATTGTTGACGGTTCGGTACAGAAAAGATGGGAAAAAGCTGGTTGTGGGATTGTATTGCCTCGTCCGTGAAATTTCCACAGACCATATAGTACAAATGATGGAAAAAAACTGTACTCCGATTGAGTGACTCTAAGTATCATCAACACAGGCTGAGTTAGTGGCTATACTAGAGGGATTAAAGATGGTCAGGGGGTTTTAGAAATAACATGCATATTTTTTTTTTTGTAGAAGAAGTTCTTTAGAATCATTCACTTGTAGGAGTTCGATTTACGAGACAGTAGTTTGTAAGTGTAAGGAAATAATGCGTGAATTACACATTCTTGGTTATTGTATCAAATTTGTCTGGATCCCCTCACATGTCGGAATTACACTTTACGAATCTGTTGATGGTATAGCAAAGCAAACTACTGAACGAATAGGGACGTGGATATATCGCTGAAGAACACTGAAGAACAGGAGGTGGATATTCACTAAGACAGACGTGGTATATT